CCAATTAAATTGAAACCAACCAAGGAGGTGCTCCTTGAGAAAGGATGGATCTATGCTCTATAGTCGACTGAAAGTTAGGGCTGTTAGATATCACGTTAAATTAATTTAATAAGCAAATACACTAATTGAACAAAATTATAATTCGATTCGATACGTAACTGTTAACCCTAAGTTATCTTGTGAGATATACGAGGGCTGCACCAAAAGTATCGGGAATGGAATATTTCCACTGTTCCTGTCATATTAAAATCTTTTTAATTGAAAACTCCTTGGTTTTAAAAATCGAATAACATTTATTTATTTAAAAAAAGATTCTCGGTCTTGTCACGAGGTTTTGTCAAACTTGTTTAGTCGTTGAGAAAATGGAATTGACTCGAGAAAATTCAAGAGCGATGATTTATTATGACTTTCGAAGTGGTTTAACACAAAAACAGTGTGTTGACCGGATGATTTCTGCATTTGGTGATGAAGCCCCATCCAAAACCACAATTTATCGCTGGTTTGCTGAGTTTCAACGTGGACGTGTCAAGCTCAGTGATGATCCCCGTCAAGGTCGTCCAAAAACTGCAGTCACCCAAGAAAACGTTGATGCTGTGCGTAAGCTGATTGAGGAAGATCGACATGTGACATACCGCGAAATTCAGGCAACTTTAGACATTGGCATGAGTCAAATACAAATAATCTTGCATGAACAATTAGGTGTAAAAAAGTTGTTTTCCCGATGGATACCGCATTCGCTCTGTGAAGAGCAAAAAGCGGCTCGCGTTACTTGGTGCGTCAGAACTCTCGAAAGATTCCACGCAGGATCCTCAAATGCTGTATACAACATTGTATCAGGTGACGAATCCTGGATATACGCGTACGAACCCGAAACAAAAAACCAGTCACGAGTTTGGGTGTTCGAAAATGAGTTAAAGCCAACAAAAATTGTTCGTTCACGGAGTGTTGCAAAAAAAATGGTGGCCACGTTTGTCTCCAAAACCGGCCATGTTACGACTATTCCTCTTGAGGGACAAAGAACGGTTAATGCAGAATGGTATGCTAGCATTTGTTTGCCACAGGTCGTTTCTGAACTCCGTAAAGAGAACTGCAACCGCCGCATCATCCTCCATCACGACAATGCGAGTTCTCACACCGCGCACAGAACAAAAGAGTTTTTAGAGCAAGAAAACATAGAATTATTAGACCATCCGCCGTACAGCCCCGACCTAAGCCCTAATGATTTCTATACTTTCCCTAAAATAAAGAATAAATTGCGTGGACAGATATTTTCATCACCTGAAGAAGCTGTGGACGCCTACAAAACGGCCATTTTGGAGACCCCAACTTCCGAATGGAATGGTTGCTTCAATGATTGGTTCCATCGTATGGAAAAATGTGTCAAACTTCGCGGAGAATACTTCGAAAAGCAATAAATACATTTTTAAATAGTAATGCTGTGTCACTTCGTTAATTCTCGAAATTTTCAGTGCCGCCTATGTAGCATTATCAGCGATACATCAATACGGGTAACTTTACGTGCCGCTTTGGTATATATAAGTACATATACTGTATAAATATTCCTTTTAATACTCTATAAACTATTATATGTATGTATTTTAGGGATATATATACAAAATTGTGTATGTATGTTTTTTTTTGTGTGTGTATTTGTATTATACATTTCTTTGCACCTACCACTATTTACTTATGCACTACCTTTGGTTGACTGGTAGAGAATGACTTAGGCATTAAGTGCGCCAATGTAAATTTTACTTATATAAACAAAGAAATATAATAAGTACCCCACATTATACTTTCTTAGAGAAACGAGTTCCTAATTGCAGCCACTATTAAAGCTCTCGTTACAATATCTCAAACTAAATTTTCATGATTGTATTGTTTCGTAAAATATGTTTTCGTATGGTCTGTGAAAGAGCTTGAAGTCCACTTGGTTTTAATCGATTACTGATTCTATAGACGTTACCATATGAATAACGCTACCCATCTTAACACATGAGATCGAAGTATCAATTGTATTGTAAGCCAAATGTTCTACCCTCCGAATTAGATAAATGCTTCGTTGCAGAAATACGCGGGATGCTGGAAAGATTTAATTTAGAATTTTAGTTGTGCAATCAGCAGGATTGTTCTCCTTGTCAAAACTTCATTAAAGTACCGTCATAACGTGAACCAGTATTAACTAGTGCTAAGTATATGTACATAGCGATAGTCATTGTGGCTTAGCCATCAAATACACCCCAATTCCACAAAGCAATACAAGGGATCCTCCATCGACGGGTTAGATAGTACATTGCTGCACGCAAAACACATTAGTAATATTAAAAAATATATTGCGTTTTTTTGTAGTCTCGTGTTATCACGTCTGCCACCAATCTTCGTTTCCACATGGCTCGAAGTTTCTATTCAAAATTATTTTTGAAGGAACTAAATTATTTAATAAAAAGATATGTGTCTATAAATTAATGTATGTAACTTTGCTTACTTCTTGTATGTTTGTTTGTAAAAAAGTAGCTAACTAGCTTCGTTAGCCAATCGTCACAAACATTCACAAATATTATTTGTAGCTCAAGAAATATTTAACTAATCTAGTATCATCAGTGTGCGACAGTTGGCACGGATTACTCCAAATGAGTCTATTTCATAAAATGTTTGACGATGGTCGCCTTGATCGACAAAGCTCCTTTTAGTTTCATTTTATATAAATAAACAAATGGACTGAGCTTTATCAGGACTGGTTTATTCAAACGTCTAAGCGCTCAACGAAAACCATTAATAAAAGAACATAAAAGAAGATTCCCCTAAAAAAAAATCCATTTCCATAATATTACTTTAAAATTTTGTTTCGCCAACTCAATTTATTACCCGTTCCCGGATTTCATGAAGTACTTTTTTTAATACACATTTAACCTGAGATCCGATACAATTCAGCTTTATTACTGATTAATTCGTAATTAATTGAAGTGGTCCAAGCAATTTCGGACACTGATTGATTGTAAGTGGTCGGCTCTTTAAATGAACGAAAGTAAATTCTGTAAGCGTTCGTTTTTTTTTTTGTATTTTAAATAAAACCTACTTTTTAAACAATTGAGTGCAAGTTTTTTTTTAATGATAGGGTACTTATGATTTAATTATTAATCAGGATTAATATCTAAGATTATATATTATATCATAGTAGTGCTTTATTTAGCAAAAAACTAATAGGTTATTCTAGTTGCGTGTACGAAATTTTCGAAATATTTTCGATTGATTCTATTAATTAAATTTTCATCTAAAACTTTCCTATGAATCTATTCTATGGTTATCTAGGCATGATGAAAAATTTACCCTCCAAAAAGAAAACTATATTATATTTAGAAAATTTTAGGCAGCTGCTATAAGGGGGGGCTATGCCGTAATCGTCACGAAGATCGGGTTCAGTGGCGAGCTTTGGGGGAGGCCTATTTTCAGCAGTGGACTGCCGCAGGCTGATAATGATGATATAATGATCATTTTAGGCAAAGCATTGTCGAAATAATTTCACAAACAACAGCTTCTATGATCCACCGAATACCTCTTAAAATGTATATTTAAATAAAAATGGAATTGGTTTTATTTTCAATAACAGAAAAGTTGCTAAACGAATTCGCGCGATAAAAAGAAGAATGTACGTAATACAGCGAATGTAACTACGTACAGCCGTTTTTATTCCCATTATGCCCTCGGGGGCCATTTTGGAGGCTGAAAACAATGAATAGCGTAATTCCATTTGCAATTTTTCATTTGACGTTCTAACAATTATCGTGGAAAAAACAAAAGAATAAAAATTTTGTTGTGTTTCTTTTAAGTAGAGCGTGCGTTAATGTTGCTGTTTTTAATTTTGTCACATTTTCGCTGTTGTTAGACCTTTTATTGCCTTTCATTATTGCTAACCCAAGTAATTACGAGTCAGACATTCTGCTTAACCGAAGGGTCAATTTCTGTTTTGTACTAAAAGTGCATTTCAGTTTTGAGTGTGGGGCACCCGTTAAACATATTGAAATTTCAACTTCATATTTCAATGTAGATAGTGCACATCGTGCTACCTACGAGTTCCAGTAGCCACATGGGTCCGGACCGTCGAGGCGATCCGCCTGGTCGTCACGGACTGGGTGAATCGCGACCGAGGACTTCTCACCTTCCGGGCGACGCAGGTGCTCACGGAACACGGCTGTTTCGGCCGCTACCTGTACCTCGTCGCCTGTAGGGAGCCGACGCCAAAGTGCCACCACTGCAGTGGCTGCGACGAGGACACGGCGGAGCACACGCTCGCGTACTGCCCCGCTTTCGCGGAGCAGCGCTGTGTCCACGTTGCAAAAATAGGACCGGACTTGTCGCTTCCGACCGTCGTGGCTACGATGCTCTGCAGGCGATGTTTGACTTCTACGAGTCCACCATCTCGCAGAAGGAGGCGGCGGATCGAGAGAGGGAGAGTTCTTCTTTCATGTCGGCGCCGTGCCGCCGCCGCCGAGCCGGGGGTCGGAGGGGGGCGTTTGTCCAGCTCCGGCCCCAATGAGCGGGCAGTCTCCTCCCGCTGATGGTCACGGGACCACCTAAGGGGGTTGAGGCTGCGCCGCACACTACTGTCACACTAGCGTGCTGGCACCAGGGGGACGGAACGACGGGACGACGCGTCGGCGGCTGCGGACTGCGATGCGGTCCACATTGTCGTCCTCGCTGCACACCTTGCAGATCGTCAAGTCCCATACACCCCGCGCGCTCCCTAAGCACGGGGACCTCGTAAGAGGTTCGGCCACCCAGTCCGAAAAAAAAAAAAGCCACATAGGTCCAGGTTGTCCGTGATTCGTTGACCCAACAATTAAATAAAAAATTCAAATTACTAATTACTAATTTAAACGCTCATTAATAGGTTTTCAATTAAATTAAGGCGCCCTCTATTTTGTATAGAGTGACAGGCAGACAAAAATCGAAAAAAAACACAATTATTAAATTGCCATCCTAATTCTTTATTCACGTTGCAGGGTTCGAAGATACTCATGTGATGATCTTCATTGGTTTTGGCTTTTTAATGACATTCCTCAAAAAGTACAGCTACAGCGCACTTGGGTTCAACTGGCTGTTGGCAGCCCTAGTCATTCAATGGGCACTACTCTGCCAGTCCTTCTACCACATGAAGAATAACACTATTTATGTCACTAAGAAGTCTTTGCTTGGTAAGTTTCTCCGTCGATAAAGTTAACACAAAGGCCGTAAGCTCTCTAGTGAACAATAGGGAACAATAAGGAATAACATCGTGTAGTAAAATGGGGAAGAGGTCGACCGAAGAAGACAAGGATGAAATGTGTGAATGACGAGATAAGAGAAAGAGGAGTGAGTGTTGGGATGACGACTAATAGAAGAGAATGGAATAGAAAAAATCTCTTTGCCCACCCCACCTAGTGTGGTAGAGACAAAGAAGAAGAAGATTGTGTAATAGAAATTAGATTCGGATAATTAAGTAATTTACGTAATAAAGGATAGTAAAACATTTTACAACCCTTACTAGGCCACTACCATCACACCCGATCTGTGACTTTTAGAATTTTTCAAAATTACCTTTTGTTATAAAATTCCCGGTTGCCGTTAAAATTGTCATTATTGAATTTAAGTGTTTAACAAGTAATGTTAGTAATTAACGGCTTTGTGTATAAATAAATATCATCTCTAAAAAAGCTAAGTTCGATTCGTCTTTGCCGTGCTGCTCGAGAAAAGAACCAGCCTACAAATACTGTTTCGCATTTACAAATTTTGTTTTTTTTTTTGCTTAAATGGGTGGACGAGCGCACAGCCCATCTGGTGTTAAGTGGTTACTGGGGCCCATAGACATCTACAACGGAAATGCGCCACATACTTTGATATAAGATCTAAGGTCTCAAGTATAGTTACAACAGCTGCCCCATCCTTTAAACCGAAACGCATTACTGCTCCACGGCAGAAATAGGCAGGGTGGTGGTATCTACCCGTGCGGACTCACAAGAGGTCCTAACACCAGTAATATCAGTAATACCACGAGTAATTTATTTGAAACTTATCTTAATTCCCGAGAAATTTTCAATGATATATTCAAATACTTAACCAACATCTTCAAAGCTTTGTATCTTTGTTTTAACGAAATTAAATAAATTCATCTTCAAAATTTCCGATTATTTGAAGAAGAAACCAACTGTTCTCAATTATTACGAAACTTGACTTTCCTCTTAGTTCTAATAAGAAAAAGCTGTAATTTAAAAGGCCAATTTCCTTTCAATTTGACAAAAGAATTTATTGCGGACCTGTTTCTGATGTTGTTTTAATATAATTATTCCAAAGTTTCACCGTCCCATTTGCGATCTACGCTTATTAGCAGACAATAAAAAAACTGTTATTTTTTAAAATGTAATTGTTACTTTGTAGCCTTGTACGTTCAGATCATTGATAACATAAAACAGTACTTTTATTTAATTACAAATAGCTTAAAATAAACCTAATCAAGGTTTCAGTTTCATGCTTTGTTATCCAAAAACAGTTATTTCTCAATTGTGAATGGAAAGAACTAAAAAGCTGCTAAAATTCATCCGGTTGTTGAACTATTGATTTATGAAATGTATTTATCTGCCGTTTGAATCGAAGCCTGCATAAGAAGACTTCTTATTTTTTATTATTAAGACCGTTCGACGGGCTTACAGTTCCCCTGACGTCTGTGGCTACTGTGCCTTATAGTGATAACACTGCAACATGAGTGCCCCTGTGAAAATTGACAGAATCGAAGTCTCAACTTCATTCATACAGGATCTGTTTGAGCACGGAACCCCGATTGCCTCGCTGAGCAATAGTAGTGGTGCTAACGGATGGATGGAGTGCTGACGCCTTTCAAATCTTCTCGGATATAAATCAGTCAAACTTTCCACTTTCAAGGGTAGGATAGGATTCCAGTAATAAAAATTTCGAATTCACGTCTCAAGTTAGAAGCAAAATTCAAATTTTCTGTGGACTACGATAAAATAAAATAAAGTAATTTCCGTTCGTTCTTTTAAGCTAGAATTGTTAGTTCAGTTGATTGACTTAAACAATTAAGTTCTGAGATTTCACAAAATCAATTTACAACAAATTGACCTAGAAAATCGTGAGTCAAAATTACCAAGAAATTCCAATTCTCCAATAACTTAAAATAAACGAGAACAATAAATACTTGTTAAAGGTAAGTACTTACAAAAATTGACAAGAAACAAGAAAGAGAGTTTGTACCTACTTAATGTTTTAGTACGCCTTCGCTGTTGGAAATGCTAATTTTTCTGAAAACATTATCATTAACAAACAGCTTAAGAAAATTTTAATTGTTGTGACCTGATGTTCGGCTCGTATAATGAAATGGAAGAAGAAATTTACATGTTTATATTTTTATTGTCTTAACATTTAATTTGGCCTACAGCTAAAAATCAAATACCTATAACATAGTAAATCTCCTTGGATAAGACAGACATATAATTTTTTGCCAGATGTAAGTTAAGTAAACGTGGTCAGGATCCTAACACTTCAGTCGTATCCACCACCATCCATCGAGGTACTTATGCTATGTAAGTTGAGGATGCTGGACTCTTACGCCCTATGATTTCTTCATCGTGGCGGCTTAAGTGTTAAACCAAAGCACAGTTTCGTTCTTGTGTAGGAGCTTTCTCCAATGTGTGCACTTCTAAGAACCAGCTACTTCTATTCTACAGAGATTCAAGAAGCTTACTGCTTACCGATGATTCTTTGAAACGCATTTCGTTTCCTATGCACTATGCGTAACCCCCCCCTTTTTTTTTTTTGCTTAGATGGGTTGACGAGCTCACAGCCCACCTGGTGTTAAGTGGTTACTGAAACCCATATAGACATCCACAACGTAAATGCGCCACCCACCTTGAGAATAAGTTCTAAGGTCTCAAGTATATTTACCCTCCCATTATTCAAACATTCTGGTATGCCGTTCTCCAAACGAGGCTTGAATAGAACCTTCAAAAGTAGACTCCTCTCTTTCTCAATGTGTTTGATCGACAGGGACCACGTAGAAAATAAACACCAGTAAAATCACGTGTATGTGATCCCAACTACATTATAATATGAACATTCATTTTTTCCCTCCCTTATACTTTAAGCCTAACAACGCATTATACTATGAGCTCCAGAGATCTAGTACAGGGTAGTGAAAAATATTTCGGGAACTATGGGTTGTAAATGTAAAATATACTTTTGCATTTCAGAAGCGGATATTATGTCTGCGACAGTTCTCATAACTTTTGGTGCATTATTAGGAGTGGCCAGTGGACTGCAGTTGTTGTTCATAGCTATTGTTGAAACGGCTGTTGCTTGCCTCAATATGTGGCTAGTGGCGGATGTATTTAAGGTTGGTTTTCCAATGTAAGTTTTTAAGTAATAAAACCACTCAGTGAAGTGATGTCGTATTTTTTATTATTATTAATATTATGATATATTTCTTCTCATATACTTGGAGAAGGCCTATACCCGAGGAAAGGTTCTTGCAAATGGAAATAGTACCTAATATTATTCAACAAATATAATAATATTATTTCTTAGTTAACTAATCACATATATTTAATTTTGTTTTTATAAGTCACTTGCACGAAATATAAGGCTTTTCTAGTTTTATTTTCATTTTATTTTTTAATTATATTTATTCTGTTTTGCTATGATATTTTTTCTATTTTGATAAATTACGCTAGCGAGCTAGAGAAGAGCGGTCGCCTAAGTCAACCACATTACCATGGCTATCATTGATTTGGCTGACAACCAAGTGTATCGCTTGGTACGAGAAATCCGATACTTCACTTCATATGAAACTTAAGACTGACTTAACGCCATTATTCTAGGCATCTGATGTTGGTGGCTCGATAGCAATTCATACCTTTGGAGCATATTTTGGGATCGGTGTCAGCATGGCGCTGAAATCAAAGAATAAGGACACAACTCCTACTACAAATGGAAACACAACTCCAAGCGTCGACCTGAATGCCCCTAGCTACATATCCGATGTCACTGCTATGATAGGTAACATATAAAATTGTAAACTGCCCCATTATGCTTCTGTAGAATTCTCGAATTCTTTGGAAACATTACCAGAAAAAATATCCGCGTTAGTATGTTTTTACGTTAAATAAAATAACTTTCTGGGTGTGTTTGTTTCTACCTCGTATACAATATCTAAAAGAAACCCTGGCTCGGAACTGCAACGCTTACTTTCTATTTCATTTATGTTCTATTACGATTACTTTCTATTAATCCCGCAGCCACTATACATCAGGAAGGCCTTTACCACTTTTGATCATTTAAGGTCAAAACAATGATAAATATTGGGTATTGAAGTTGAGCAAATCTTTTGTTTCAGGATCAATATTTTTGTGGATATATTGGCCATCATTTAATTCGGGACTAACGAACACAGACGCCGAATATCAAAGAGCTGTTGTCAATACGTATTTATCTCTGGCTGCTGCTACGGTGAGGGCGTTGACAACTTCCTTCCTAATAAAAATCCTCTTTAATACCCAAACCCTCGCTAATTTTTCTGAAGATCCAAATAGAAAAATATTATATTCGTAACATGTTTTGATCACGTAGGCACATGCTGTGTATAATGTATGTTACTCACTTATTTCATAGCCCATTAATTTCTGTGAGTTGGTCTTTATTTTGAATAGTCCATACAATATTTTTCGTTGTATTTCCAAGTCGTAAATGATTGCAGTTAGCATAAATACCGATGAATAACATCTCAGTTGTACTTGGCCATAAATATTATAAAGGAATGAAAAGGTCAGAAATTATAAACGCACTATTATGGTATTAAGTAGTCTTAATTTGAGTGCATGCATTTAAATGCGCCTTATGTAGTAGATGAAGTGTTGACATTAAAATTAATCTAGTATCACTTTAGATACCTACCCTTTCCTTGGTACCATTGATACGATTGATACCTTGACACCTTAAATAATACACCGTGTTGTGGCCCCAAACGATTTAGTACCATCGCCAAAGTCATTATTTATATCTACAAGTATTTAAAAATATTTTCTTTGTGGTCGCAGTACAAAAATAATCCAGGAATTAAGAAGAATAATTTGAGTTTATGACTTTAAATTGGCCACTCTACCCATTTCGACAATTACTTCATTGTACCTCAATTTTTCCAACAGGTAACTACATTTGTCTTGTCATCAGCACTGAATGAGCACAAAGGTAAATTTGACATGGTCCACATCCAGAACTCGACCCTGGCTGGTGGAGTGGCTGTGGGCTCCGTGTGTAACATGCAGATCGGAGCTGGTGGAGCAGTGGCTATTGGAATCGGCGCGGGGATCTTGAGCGTTCTAGGATATCGTTACCTGACAGTACGTTTAGCGTCCTTTTAATATGTTATAGATTTTTTATTGCATAGATATGTGAACGGGGCTATGGCACACGAGGCGTTAATTAGTTGACGAAACTCATAAACATCCCCATATCAACCACCATAATCCAACCTTATTCATAAGGTCGAATTTTATTTCCTTAACAATAGTTACAGTACAATAGTAACAGTAGTTTACTGATGGTAGAACCTCTTGTGAGTCCGCACGGGTAGGTACCACCACCGCATCTATTTCTGCCGTGAAGCAGTAATGCGTTTCGGCTTGAAGGGTGGGGCAGCCGTTGTAACTATACTGAGACCTTAGAACTTATATCTCAAGGTGGGTGGCGCATTTACGTTGTAGATGTCTATGGGCTCCATTAACCACTTAACATCAGGTCGGCTGTGAGCTCGTCCTACCATCTAAGCAATAAAATATCTCCCTGCAGTATTTAAGCGCAGCCTTAGTCGTATCGTTGAGTATAAGTATTTCAGCGTCTTATCCTACAATGACACAAAAGATTTGTCAAATTGTACTGTTTTTAGCATAGTTTTTAGCATGTGACTGAAGTGGAGTAGCTTTCAAAGTCATAGTATTACGAGTTTATATTATATTATTTTTTACATATTAATTAATAAAAAGTGCCAACGTAAAGATATGTATTTACAATGAAATTAACACGAGAGTTTATTACCATCGAACAAAGACTTACTTAAGAGATATACTTTTTATATTATAATCCATTAAAAAAGTGTACGGTTTTGACCGATTTTTGTTAAAATTATTAGTTTTGACCTCTCAATATATGTGTAACCAACAGCCCAAACTCACAAAGATTGGCATCCTGGACACTTGCGGTGTGAACAACCTTCACGGTATGCCTGGAATCTACTCCGGTGTTCTCTCCGTCCTGTTCGCCGGTCTAGCCACCAGCGACGCTTATGGCGCTGAACTTGGCACTGTTTTTAGTGGCATTGGCCAGGTATATTAATTGTGATATTTTAACTCTATCCGTTATCTAACTAGGTGGCGTCAGTATGTGTGTTTTATTATTCGTTAGCTTACGGTACCATACCAGCCCGCGTGTGTGATTTCCTCCTTTCACAAGGAATAACTGACTTGGCATTGTCGCATTAGGATAGGAATTTGAGGAAATATTGAGTTATTATATATTAAACTAAAGTATATGCTATTACTACGGATGAATACGGAATTGGTAATATACTAGTACCTTCTATTGGGGTATAACCTAGTCATTGTTGTCTCTGTAAGAAAATAATTTTATAAGATATTATTACTTACTCAGTTAACTTTCGTCTCCTCAACTTTTAAGCTTTTAAGTTGTATGTACGTTGTACCATATCTGCCGTAATTGAAAAATAACGTACTTTGTTAAAAATTATGACCAGTTGCTCTTTACTGATAGACACGCTCATATCTGATTCGGTTCAGACCAGCTATTGAGCCCTATAAGCACAGTAACGTTTTAAGTTGAAATTATTATTCCATGGAATTAGCTACCTTCTATTTCAAATCCATAATTTATTTTAAGTTCATCCATACTACCTGGAGCCACTGCGGTCATCCACAGTGCGTTTCCAGAGGTCTTTTTTGCCACGTACCATCCGGCTATGGAATGAGCTCCCCTCCACGCTGTTTCCCGAGCGCTTTGACATGTCCTTCTTCAAACGAAGCTTGTGGAGAGTATTAAACGGTAGGCAGCGGCTTGGCTCTGCCCCTGGCATTGCTAAAGACCATGGGCGACGGTAACCACTGACCATCACGTGGGCCGTATGCTCGTCTGCCTACAAGGGCAATAAAAAAATAAAATTATAATAAAATATATAGGTGTATTAGATTAAAAACACGTTACACTATTCTTGTATTATAGAATGGCAGAACTATTGGACAACAAGCTTTGAATCAGTTCCTAGCTCTTGTGGTGACTCTGTTATTATCACTGGTATCTGGATTTCTAACAGGTAAGAAACAATTCAATACTTTACGTATCAACGAGCGAGGTGCCAAAGAGGTTGTGAGGTAAATTGCTTCCTATTTTGAGTTAACGCCAGATGAGCTTAAGTGAAAGAAAAGTGAGACCTTACAACTCATGTCTCAAGCTAGGTGGCGGGACTTACGTTGTAAATGTCTATGGGCTCCTTAACACCAGGTGGACCATGAGCTCGTCCATCCATCTTAGCAATAAATAAAAATAAAAAAGCTGTAATTCCATCTACCTAAAGATCTAAAGCTCTTTTTAATACAGGGACCTCAGTTCTAATCTTCTGGCTAAATAGCTCATCAGTCTAACACATTCATTGTTTTCATCAAAAATTTTATTGTAAATGTTAAATATATTCCAAAAAAGCTGAATTCGATATAACCTAAACGCAATTATCAAAAACATATCCAACCAAAAGCAGAGAACAAACAGACGCAGAACAAACCAACAATATGAAAATTAAAATAATAAAATGAGAGGAGCATTTAACGAAAAAAAAATCTCTTCTACTAACTCGCAAATTGAGTATGTTATGCAGTAAAGATCCAGTGAACAATTTTTTATTACTGTTGGTTTGGTAGTGATTAGAAATTGAAACTTATGACAATACCAAATGAAATCTATAGGCCAGTTACATAGTTTTAGTATGTGGTGGTAGTGCGTATTGTAAGCCCGCACAGGTAGGCACTGCCCTACTTATTCTACCGCGATGTGGTCTCGCCTTTTGGATTTGAAAGATTGGGACATCCGATATATATAATTCATTTATCAAGGGTGGTTTCCCGGCATCTACATATCTGGACATTTCTTATATTCACGGATATTCTATGGTTCCGGTAAAAAGTAACCAGCAACAACACACGAGCTCTCCCTCTCTCGTTCCGTCAAGGAGACCCTTGAAGGCCGACCTGGAGTGGGATGCTCGACTTCTGCGAGTGCATCATCTCGCGAAAGTCTTCTATTTCCACCGTAGCCACAACGATCGGAAGCGATATGTCCGATTCTATTTGCGAGGCGAAGACAGGGCGCTGCCCGAGCTACATGGGGCAGTTCGCGAGCGTGTGCTTGGCCATGTCCTCGTCGCAGCCACAGTGGTGGAACTCCATCGTTGATTCCCTTCGAGCGATGATAGCGTCGCATAGCAGGTACCCGCCGAACGCTCATGGCCGGTGAGCACGTGGGTCAACCGTGAGGTAACACGGTCGCGGCTGACCCAGTCTGCGAGAATAGAACGCACCGCCTCGACGCGGCAACGGTCCGAAGACCAGCCGACGGATTCGTCAGACGCCGAGACCACGCCTCCTGCACGGACCGCCGAGATTAGAACCTAAAGACGCCTGACTAATGGAGTCGTCGGCGAAAATAATTCTACGTCGGTCATTACCGTAAATGTTGACAAATATGACCTTGTCGAATATGGTTCTGTGGTTTAATGAATATGCAACGTCGTATATGCAACGTCTATGTCATTCGAATGCAACTCAATGCAAAAAAGAATTTGGTTGCATATTTCTAGTACATTTACTAGATAAAAAATGTTGATTGTCCAATCAAAAAGTACTTATGTACAATACATCTAGTTTCATCAAGGTGTGCTTTTATATTTTTATAGATCTTGGGTCTTTTTTGCATAAAACACTTGAATTAAATATAACTTCGCAGCCTACGAAGTGGCATTTAATTATTAAAAAGCCGTACTGTTGCGTCTGTTGGAAATTTCCTTTATAAAATGTGGAAATTCGGTTGTTTTAAAAGATTGGTCTAGTTTAGTGGCCTACAGCGGGTTCGCGATTATTTTGCTGTCGTTAAAGACGTTTGAATTTAGAGCCGCCTAATGAGCATCGAAAATGCTAAGGGCAAAGTCACTGCCTATATGTGAATTATACATCTACCACTATTTCCAGGTTGTGGGGTGCTTTTGTATTATATTGTCATCGTTAGATAACAACTTCCTGCTTGTTACTATCGCAAACAGCAGTCTGTTCCCATTTCAAAATTGGGGCGGTCGTTACGATACCTAAACAATGTGCTGGAACAACATAGTTAAAGTTTAGGGCTAACAGTAAACATATCGCAATATATAGAAATGCATTATGTAAAGTATTGTTACGCCGGTAAGAGTAACGCCATCTATCGCCGAATAGTCGAACAAATATCGAAGGATCTAGTAGCACCTAGAACGCTCGAGAAGTACAACGCCATCTATTGTCAGATAGCGGAAAACAATACTAGAGATGTGTGGAATATTCTCGATAATTCTAGGGATGTGGTATCGGTTATAAAAGCGTTGCAGGGATGGCACGCAGTCAGTCAGTAATCGGAACTACTCGAAGCGAAACAGCGAACGGATCACCTGAAGCGAAGCGGAACAAGCGAATTGAGAAGCGAAGTGTTTAAGTGTTCTAAGTGCTAGTACAGTGTTAACTTGTAATTCGGTAGAATTTTTATTTATCCCGAACCCCAGCGCGTAACAGTATAGTTCCAGTGATAATGGTCGAATAACAAAAACGGGGAAATTCCATTGAATGAATAAATCTCGTTATTATGAAATCCTCAATAAAAGGTAACCAGGCGACTGGAGATAATTGAAAAAGGCAACATAAAGCGGGAAAACGTAACATTTTCATGTAAATTATCCATACATTACAGAGTCGATGTACTTAACAGACGGTCCGTTAATGAAATAGAACGCCAGGGAAACGTTTATTTATTGAAGGATATTTTTGATCTGATTCACTTTTATTTTTTTCTAATTAAGTCATACATTTGTTTTTTTTTTAAATATTGATTCACCATACACATAAAGATACATAAATCAATCGATAGTCGCATCGACAAATTACTATAATCCCGTTAACCAATCAAAGTAATTTTGATTAGCGTAGACGAAAAAATCATCTATTTTTCACTGCCGAATAGGCAGACTAACACACGGCCCACTTGATGGTAAGTGGTTACCGTCACTCGTGGACGTCAGCAATGCCAGGGGCAGAGCCAAGTCACAGCTTACCGTTCAATACTGTCCACAAGCCTCACTTAATTCAAGTTTATTGAAGTTCATGGACACCATTTTCAACTGACTCTGTGGTGTAGTAGGTAGCGCGCTTGACTGTTGTGCCGAGGGTCGTGGGTTCGATTCTCACATCGGGCAAACATTCGTGTGATGAATATGTTTGTTTGATCTTTACCTGGGTGTACATTATCTATATATTAAAACGTATGTCAATCTCTGGTACCCATGACGCAGCGAATCCTAATTTAGGGCTGGATAACCGTTCGTGATTTGTTCCCAGTTATCTATTATTTATTACCATTTCAAAGCTGAGGTAACGAACGAAACAGAGTAAACGACTAATCCTCAAACGACTTCAATTTCTTCAAGAATTAAATTCTTCCTCAACAGCTGTAGTATTTCATGCTAATGTCAAATACATCTTATCATTTCTAATACAATCGAGTTATTTTGGAACGAAGTTCCTTATGGGACGATGCGGAGAGGTTCTCTAACCGGGAAAAAACGTCCGTAACGTAAGATTTTTATTATTTATGTATAGTCTTAGTATGATGGCTATACAGTGTCTAATGTATAGTCTACGTGATGACGGTTATTATTATTATTCATATAAATAGCTGTTTCTTTGTATATGATTGTTATATATTTTTTATAAATCATTGTGAATAAAATAAAGTTGATAACTTTGTAAAGTAATTTTTATTTTTATCAATAAAAAAATCATAGTAAAAAATGTATACCCGAATAATTATTTTCTTTATACCTCGAATAGAACTTAAAATTAATATTTTTATAATAAGGAACTTCGTTCCTATCCGGTGTCCCACGACAACACACATCTTTTTTTTTTTTTTTAATTGCAATTCAACTGTTTCCAGGTCTCCTCTCAAAGATTCCAGCACTGGAGCCCCTGAAGCAGAAAGAATGGTACAACGACGAAATCAACTGGGAATTACCTTAATCGACCCTTTGTTTAGCGACCCCGTTGTGTTTACGAAAGATTTTTATCCTCTCCGTGGATTCACAACGAAAATGTAGGTTTTACAAGGAAAACAATAATTCCCAAAAGCTTGTAGATCGACACGGGTTGTATTATTTTATTCGGATAAAAAGTATTGACTTATTAATGAGCTAAGTGAATCTGACATCGGTGGATAGATAAGCGTACTGACCACACGCCTTTAACGAATTACTGCCTATTGAAAACGTGAATGTAGCCACCTAATGTACGTTATCATAATAGAACCTCTTGTGAGTTTACTGGTGGTAGGACCTCTTGTGAGTCCACGCGGGTAGGTACCACCACCACGCCTATTTCTGCCGTGAAGCAGTAATGCGTTTCGGTTTGAAGGGCGGGGCAGCCGTTGTAACTATAATGAGACTTTAGAACTCATATCTCAAGGCGGGTGGCGGCATTTACGTTGTGGATGTCAATGGGCTCTGGTAACCACTTAACACCAGGTGGGCTGTGAGCTCGTCCATCAGAACGATGCAATAAAAAAAAAACATCAGTGAGATACGCATCATTGGGTCTCGGCAGAAATAAGACCGTGGTTCCAAAGCCTACAGGAACAAGCCTTGGCTAGTTAAATGATTTTGTATCCTTAGCGTTGATTCTAAGTATAACAGCTAAATATTTAATGCTGAGGCTATCAGCAAATACATAATTGCTTTAAAGGGACCAAACTCCACGAAGCTGATATTTTCTTTTTTAATTCTATTTTGTATTTTTTACTTTTTTTTTTTTTAGTATCAAGTTGTTTTAAATGTCTAATTTATTATCAAAAACATTAAAACCTTTTTAGATATATGAATTTACGTTTTATTATTGAAAATTGTTTAGAAAAGTATTTTGGTTAAGTAAATAGTAATATAATATTATTATCAATAAGTTTTGTTTTATGTAGCTCTCTGAGTAAGATACTAAATAAAGATGACATTTTAATTAACATGAATACTCGTATCTTTTGAATTAACACATACAAGCTTTTTCAGTTACAAAGGGATTTAAAAAAAGATTGCAAGTTTTTTTTCAACATTTCGCTCGCTTCTCTGACCTAGTGATTAGTGACTCTGAGTAACGCACTGCCGAGCTTAATGCCCGGTTAGAGCCAATATGAACATATTAAAGTATTACGTAACCATCTACCATCTATTTTCATTTTTAATATTGAATCTATATAGTATTCAAAAGATTAGTTTTTAATCAATTCGTAGCTTCTGAATCTGGACTGCCCTTCGCATCAATGTGTCAATACTAAAGGAGCTTTATGTCAAAACTAGACTCTCCACAATATGCATACGTAGAGTATGGGAGTTCTTCGGATACATTGCTTGAAAATAGGGTCACAATCATGAGCAGCTGAGGGTGACGGGAAAGATAGAGGGTAAACGTCCCAGAGGACGCAGTCCCACAAGATGGTCGGACTAAATTCGGTCTTGTCTGAACATCATGCTCCACGATGCAATCCACGAGGCCAGGGATTGCAGCAGATGGAGAACAATCCTACAAGAGAGATTGATACAGCAAAGGAGTCACGACCCTCAGTAATGAGAAGCTTCTGAATCAACATCTATCCGAAGTCCTCAATCAAGAAGGCATACAAAAGCGAAACATTCTTTTTCGAAATTCGAAAACCGAATTATTGATGTAATTCAAAAATATCCTTCCAAAAGGTCCGGACACGAAGGGAACACGGCTTACATTGCAGAACTTGTCTTAAATGCTAATAAAAGATCGCGAGCCGCTCGCTACACCCCGCGATGAATATTTCATGATGAGCATACTGATAACCAATCCCGCTGACCTTCCTCGCCTCCTTGGACACCACTAAAATGCATTAAAACCTAAGGCATAGTACGTCCATCGAGAGGTCAGATAAGATGGCGAAACTCCAAGGGTATCGGCACAGATGCGGTGCGTTTATTTTCTCATTAATTTTTCATCTCGCTTCGGTTCGAGCCCTGATGTTTATTTGGAGTTTATTGTACGGCAGTTTACACTTCGGTGTTTTTTAAATCGTTCGTACAAATTTTAGGAAAACGGATGAATAAAGACGGATTCTGTTCATGTATAAGTTTGTTGAGTCTCTATATCGGGCAAGGATTAATAAGACACTTGTTCAGTTAAGTGAGTAAAGTAAATTGGGATTACAACCTAACGTGCTATCGACAGCCCGACAATCCCGAGCATAACTGTTATTTAATTATCACTAACACATACATATATTTGCTTTTGGGACATTTGTGGTCCCTACAAGTTTATTTCGGAAAGGTTTTCAAAAATTGTCTTCTTTCTGTCAAAAAAAAAATGTGTGCGTGTACTAGTGTACACACGTAAGAAGTGAAACTTGTTTATGGCCTTATTTTTCGAAAAATGATCTACATGCAACTTTCTAGAAATTGGTTAAATAAAGTTAAATTAGATAAAGTTTAAACAAAAGGATTTTATTATCATAGACATGAATACAAATAATACAATTATTTCACTTTACCTTTTTGCTACTNTGTCAATGCCGTCAATTAATGCACATATTTGGTTATATTCACCACAAATCTTTGATAAAGGGGAATATCTAAGGAGGTTTGTTCTACTTGCGGGAATATGGAAAATTTCAGTAATAGGATGCCGTGGGCAGTGGTATGGAACGCTAAAGTTGATTTTCTGAAGTAAGTGGCTACAATCTATGCTTCCGGAAATTAGTTTTTGTAGGAACATGATATTAATTATTCTACGACGGTTGCCGAGCGATATCATTTTAAAATGTTTAAGACGTAGATCATATGTGGTACGGTAAGATATGCTAGAAGAATGGAATGCCAAGTGCCTAGTGAATGCACGCTGTACGCTCTCAATACGCTGCGAGTAAGTAGCGTAATGGGGACCCCAAACTACTGATGCGAATATCGTATGACTATAAGCATAAATCTGGCATATGCTTATCTACATGGAAAATTTCAAACCTAATCTTTATAGTTCTGTACATTTGCTTGCATTATCATCTAATTCGTATCATTATGTCCAAAATTTTGAGGCTCATCAGAATGTTAGTTTAAAATAAATAATAGTTTAAAAAAACTACCAAAATGCGCTTTTATAGAAAATCCAACNACCTGGGATTATTGCAATTACAAAATGTATTCCGTGACCCACCTTGAGACATGAGGTCGGTTTCTCAAATGCGCATCCATACTTCAGAACATACAGCCGTTAATTAAAAGATGGCGCGTAACGGAAAAATGTGACGCGTAACCGAAAAATGTGACGGTAAATTTTTTTCCAACGCCGATAAGGAAGTTTCACTTCAAAATTTAAATCTATCAATAGATAGTCGTCATCGTCCGCCATCTTCGTCGGTCTACCACATCACCGAGATGGAGACCTCACAGAAGTAGGCGAAGAACGAGAGAGGGAGACCCGTTGAGGATAACTACGATTTACAATAAATCTGTATTTGTTTTCTTTCTATTCATTTTATTATTCCCAAACATTTAAACTTCCGTTTGCATTAAGTGAGCGTGATGTTTTATCTCGGTGATCTCATGATGTCATGTACATTCTGTTTGTGAATAGATCACTGACACTCGTCTGATCTGGTCCTTCTAGGCTTATTTTATTGTTATTTTTTATACGTTTGCTTTCCCGAACAAATATATTATGTATGTGCGTGTACGTTTATTGAGAAAAATATCTATACTAACATTATAAAGAGGAAAGATTTGTTTGTTTGTATTAATAGGCTCCGAAACTACTGAACCGATTTGAAAAATTTTTTCAAGTGTTTAGAAGCTACACTATTCCAGAGTGACATAGGCTATAATTTTTTTTAAAAAAAAATAGGGATCCTTACTAAAACTCCAATAGTCTAACTCAAGGTGTAAAAGAATTACCTAAAATATTATTTACATCCCGTGCCCTGTGAAAACTATTGATGATAGAATAAAATAATGTACTACGACTTTGTAGAACATATTATTATTTACAAAAAGTGTCGGGACAGCATATGTCTAACTATTATAGTTATGCCGCAATAAGTATTATTTTATTTTTAAAAATAAAACAACTTCAAATATCGTTAAAATTTTTGTTAAAGATACGAGCGGAGCCGGAGCAGGCCGCTAGTCACTGGTGGTAGGACCTCTTGTGAGTCCGCGCGGGTACGTACCACCGCCCCGCCTATTTCTGCCGTGAAGCAGTAATGCGTTTCGGTCTAAAGGGTAGGGCAGCCGTTGTAACTATACTGAGATCTTAGAACTTATATCTCAAGGTGGGTGACGCATTTACGTTGTAGATGTCTATGGGCTCCAGTAACCACTTAACACCAGGTGGGCTGTGAGCTCGTTCGCACATCTAAGCAATAAAAAAAAAAGAAGTCGTATATAAAGTACAACAATAAATATAATATATATGTGGTTGTTGGACACAAGAAATAATAAAGAATTAATGATGCTATTCCGTTGGCAGAAGTCGATTCAAAATTCACTCTAACGAGACTGCATATTTTGATAGCGAGTTGAATGTAAATTAGGCGGGGGCTTCGAAATGGAACATTGATAATTATTATTCCGGGTACACCTTGCCACGCTCTAGTCCGTTTTGTGGATAAATAATAGATACTTTGATAACGAGCGCGGTTTTGTGGAATCATCAGGAACTCTTAAGCAATGTACTCTTCATTTATTCCATTTTTATAATTTAACTTCATTTCAACCATACATAGCTTAGTATTTTAAAATATAACCTTTCTATCATTTTTTCTTTATATGTTTTATTGCATGAATGGGTGGACGAGCTTACAGCCCACCTGGTGTTAAGTGGTTACCGAAGCCCATAGACATCTACAACCTAAATGCCACCACCCACCTTGAGATATAGGTTCCAAGGTCTCAGTATAGTTAGAACGGCTGCCCCACCCTTCAAACCGAAAAGCATTACTGCTTCACGGCAGAAATTAGCAGGGTGGTGGTAGCTACCCGTGCGGACTCACAAGAGGTCCTACCACCAGTAATCTCACACTAATAATTAAAGCACAGAAATAAAATGGATTGAAAACGTTCTTTTTTATTCCTCTCGCTAAATAGCTGGACTGCAGAAGTGGACGATAAGGTGGAACCTACCCTTGCAGGTTTATAATACGACTTACCACCATACAAAAGTAACACGCATGCAGTGCGACGTCACGCCGCGCGGTTATTCACAAACACTACACGAGCGCAACATGTGAATGTGTTGAACGCGAGCTACGTCGTAGGCGGAGTGTGGGGGGTGTTAGGTTTTATATTCGTTACGGAAATTCTTGAATCGGTCGCCGCGCTCAAAGCTCGCG